AGGGACCAGTCACTGGAGAAGGATATCATGTTTGGTAAGAGAAAAAGAGTAAGACCCCCATTAAGATGGACTGGCCAAGTGGCAGCATCGACGGACTCAAGCGTGGCAACAGTAGTGAGGTTGGCCCAGGATTGGGCAGTGCTTCGTTCTGCTGTGCATAAGGTCACTATGGGTCGGTATTGAATCGATGGCACCTAACTACAACAACTTATAGTTCCGACTTATAGTGACCCAGCATAGTGTTTGTGAGGAGCGGCTGGTGAGCTTGAACCACTGACCTTATGGTTCACACCGACCTTGCAGTCCAACACAGTAAACAGCAGTGAGTGCCACACCAGGACTCCTGTAGGTTAGATGGGGGTAAGGTTTCCCAACAAAATTCTCCTTGCTACCCTTAGAGAAAGAGCAGGTACAGTACTGTGATGGAAAAAATTCCTCAGTACAATTTTTCTGGCTTTATCCTCACAAATGCAGTTTTCCGTTTTCTTAAAAATTCTTCATAATAAGCTCCTGTGGTCATCATGTGTCCGCTGAGAAAAATCTGTCAAGATTTCCCTTGTGAAATCCCTAAAATATAATCTGTGGAGGGTACTTCTGTGGCTTGAATTTAACTGGTCTAGCAGACCCCTTCAGAAGCCCCAGCTTTGATTGGACCTCTTCTGGAAGGCCCTCTACTCAGACTAAGACAAGTGTATTACTGAGGCACGTTTAAATACGTGTTGTTTCCAATAAACCTGTACACGTATGAACTGGAACCCTACTAGCAATACTTTTTTACTTACCCTTATAATATGAATTAGTGAGGATTTCAAGAGTATAGTTCAAATATAAAGTTTTTACTTTACAAAAAACAACAAAATTTAACATTTTGATAATCCTGTAAAACTGTAATCACCAAACCAATAAATACTTGTACGTACTTTTACATCCCATTTTTTCAAAAAGATTCTTCAGGTTAGGATCCTTAGCTTTTGATTCGACTCCACAAACAAATATCTTCGAGGTGTTATCATTTGTTAAGATGGACATATGAGCAACTGTGTACCACGACCCTGTATTGACCACTAAGATATCGTCATCCATATTCAATAAAGCTTTGACCGAATGGACAGCAAGGCTTCGAGATTTGTCCTATGAGATAATGGTAAGGTTAGACTTTCAAAGGGTCTGATTAGAAGCATGAACTTCTTAGAAAACAAGAAAATACATGATGGGAATCTTGAAAAGATCATTAATGCTCCTAGTTGAAAACAACTGGATATATATCTAAACAAAAACTGAATAAGGATAATATATATACTTCAAAAGTCTACCTCTGTTTAGCCTAGGTAAGAACTACTATCATTTAACTTTCACATAGTAATTGTTGTTGTGTGCCATACAGTCAGTTACAACTCGTAGAGACCCTGGATAGTGTTTCTGAGAGCAGTTGGTGGGTTTGAACTGCTGACCTTGCTGTTAGCAGTCCAGTGCTTATCCTAATCATATAGTGATGAGGCAATCTTCAATTCACAAAGATGTGACTACTACATTGGATATGCCCTGCCTCAGCTCCCATTCTGACTCTGTCATGAAAATCCACTGATGCACTAGTGCTGTCCTGTCCTCCCTTTACATTGTCATCTAAACTGCTGCTAACTCAGAGACTAAAAAAAAGAAGTCTGAGGAGCAGAGGGTTTCACAGATTGGATTTCTGCAGTTGACTTTCATGTTTGATATGGTATTCCTCCAAAAAAGGCCTGAAGATTCCACACAAGAATATGATAGCACAGAAGGCCAAGGTGAATCTGAGACAAGTATCGGAATCTCAGGCAGAAAATGAGTCTAACCCAAATTTCTAAACTTTTTCTTTTTGATTCTGCTGAAACCCTTATTATAGCTTGTATTCTCTTCTTGTATACAGTAGAACCTGCAAAAGCTGGAATTTGTATTAATTGTATTAAGTGGGAACGCATCAGAGAAGAAAAACTAAAATGTTTCCCACCAACAGAGAGCAATAGAAAAGCAGTAAGCCTGTTACTGTTGTTGCTTGTCGCTGTTGCTAGGTGTCGTTGAGTCGGCTCCAACTCACAGTGACCAATGCACAAGAGAATGAAACAATGCCTGGTCTCATGCCCATTACTGCTGCCACAGTGTCCATCCATCTCCCTGGGGGGTTTCCTCTTTATCACCAACCCTCCACATTACTACGTATGATGGCCTTATCCAAGGACTGGTCCATCCTGCCAACAACGTGTCCAAACAAAGTATGAGAAATGAAATCTTGTCATCCTCACTGCTAGGGAACATTCTGGCTGTGCTTCTTCCGAGACAGATTTGTTTGTTCTTCAACATTCTTTGCCAACACCATAATCCAAATTCACCAATTGTTCCTTGGTCTTCCTTATTCACTGTCCAAGTGTCACATGCATATGAGGCAACTGAAAATTGTATGGCTTGGGTCAGACACGTCTTAATCCTCAAAGTGACCTCCTTGTTTGTTCTTTAACATTTTTAAAGAGGTCTTTTGCATTAGATTTTCCTAATGAAATATGTCATTTGATTTCTTGACTGCTGCTTCCAGGAGTGTTTATTTTGGATCCAAACAAAATGAAATGCTTGACAACTTTAATCTTTTCTCTATCTATCAAAATTATTTATTGGCCCAGTTGTGAGGATTTCTGTTTTCTTTACATTGAGGTGCAATCCATACCAAAGGCTGTAGTCTTTGATCTTCATCAGTATTTCAAGTACTCTTCACTTTCGGCAAGCAAGATTGTATCACCTGCATATCACAGATTGTTAATGAGTCTTCCTCCAATCCTGATGCTACGTTCTTCTTCATATACTCCAGCTTCTCAGATTATTTGCTCAGCATAAGACTGTGTAAGTATGGTGAAAGAATACAACCCTGACACACACCTTTCCAGATCTTACACCATTCAGAGTCCCCATGTTCTGTTTGAACGATTGCTTACTGACAAGTCTATATACAAGCTGTCAAAGGTAGAAAACTTGCAAGACTCAGAAAAACACGGCAGGTTTCAGTGCATTAAGACACCAAAGCTGTTGCTGTGGAGTGGTTTCCAGTTCATGTCAGTGGCCTATGTTACAGACTGGAGTGGCCCGAGGGGTTCCTTGGCTGCAATCTTTTATGGAACCATATTGCCAGACCTCTTTTCTGTGACAGCACTGAGGAGATTCGAACCACCAACCTTTCGATCAGTTGGATTGTTGTTAAGTGCTGTCAAATTGATTCTGACTCATAGCGACTGGGTACAGGGTTTCTGGAGTTTCACATCTTCACCGAAGCAGAAAGCCTCATCTTTCTCCTGCAGAGCAGCAGGTGGGCTCGAACTGCGGGCCTTGTGGCTCACAGTCCAGTGTGTAGTGTATTTCTGTTAGTCGTCAATAGCAAATTGTTTGTACCACCCAGAGGCCTAGCTATTACATACCACTGAGAGCTGTGTTAAGACTCTTGAAGTATGGGAAAGTATTACAAACTGCTTTTTCATATACACAATGGCACTAGTAACGCATCTTCTCCACAAGTGGAGGGAGAAAAAGTATCATGTTACATCCTTTTGAATTCTCCCTTAGGTGAGAAAAACATAGCCTTTCAGTTGCCAGCAATATAAGTCTCCTAATCTATGGCATCTGCAGAGGAGAATATGTTCTTTACAACTTCACCTGGAAGATGCCAAGGTATAATACGAGCACTGAGTCTAGAGGTCTTCATTTTATTCAGGGTGACAATCAGGCCTTATAAACCTCCCTGATAGCCCATAAAAAACAGGACGAGTGCTAAGTTACATTTTTAGGTGGTGGGATTCCTAGACGAGGTACGATAATTAGATAAAACTCATAATGGAAAGTAATGTTAGTTTACCTGAAATATAAGTTTGTAGTCCTTGACAAGATCTATATGTAGAAGATCATTTTTCAGATGAGATGGAAAAATTAACACATCATAGCAATGTGTGTCCACAGCAAAGACTTTATCATCAATATGCAATACAGATTTGACTTTATGATAGCCGTTTTTCCTTAAATTACTATAAACTTCGTCAGGGCTGTAAATATACAACACTGAGTTGTAATTACAAATATCATACATTAAAATGAGTTTAATTAACACTTTTTCCTGCAACAAAGAAAAATAACTATTGCATATACTGTATCAAAAGGAACTATCTATTCTAGCCAACAGTAAGTTAAAAGATCATCAGAGGCAGAAAAGTTAACATGTTAGCTTAATTGCCTTTGGTATTTTGGTGAGAAGATTCTAAACAAAACTGTAATTCTCCAACCACCACCCCCTTCACATCACTCCTAAAATAAGGTAATATTTCGTATCACACTATTTTGAACGGCTGGAGACATGAAATAGAAATGATTGGTGTTCAAATTCTTACCTGATTTTACATGTATTTATCCATGCATAAAGTGGCAAAGTGGAGGCCCTTAGCTCCTGCTTTCTGACTGTTTCTGGTAGAATGTGGTATATTGAAAGGGCATCATGTTTGATTCGACATCTTGCCAACGATGCAGCCAATTTTGTCTTAAAACTAGAGAGAGAAAATTCATTCTTGGTGACTATTGCATTTGAAACTAGATGATCAATTTCACCCATAGAAATGTTAGCAAATTATATTTAGGATTTTAACAAATTCTTCTGTAATTCAATTTTTAAAGTCTAAAATAAAAATATGTCATATTGTTGTTGAATCAAACACAGCACCACACCAGGACTCCAATCCAACAATCTTGTACCTTGTATCCTTCATCCTGTTTTTATTGCCCCTGTAAAACTGTGCATTTCTCCAGATATTTATAGCCACTGCTGGTTAAGAGGCACATTACATGTAATGGAAAAGGTGTAGGATTTAGAATTAGACAAACCTAGAATTAAATTCAGGTCCTATAATATACAAGCTGTGTAACCTCAGATACGTTACTTAATCTACTCTCTCAGCCTCAGTTTTCTTTTCTGTAAAATGTGGCCAACTTGTTGTTGTTGTTGTCTGGTGCCATCGAGTCAGAACCGACTCATAG